TACACCCTGGAATCAACCCAATAACGAAAATCATACAATCGATAAATTTCATAATATTTTCTGACTTTTTTTATAATCTCCAACTAAAAGGAAATATTTTCTCAATTTTTGTTATAGCTATTGTAGCCGCCGAAGCGCAGCTATGGGACTTCCTATTATTTCGTCAATTTATCGTAACAGAAAATCTACCCGTATCAATCAATCTAATTTGTTGAATAAGTAGTACTAATCATATAAAATATTATATTCATCAATTTGAAAGTGGCATGTATGATATATAAGCTATGTGATCATGTTTTCAAAAATATAAGAAATTCAAGTCTGTCTCATGAGTTAATTTAGAATTGAATAGAAAGATTCTTCTAAATTATTGCTTAATCTAGTGTGTAAATATAGTTTTCATTTAGAAATTTATTAGATAGAAAATCATACAATCGACATGAAGTCGCAGGCAAAGAAATGGTCTTTCTCTTCTCTTCCTGTTGGCTTAATCAAACTTAAGAAACTTCTTAAATTTTCATTTAAAAGAAATTAAGTTTGTGTTATAGTGTTTTTTATGATTCTAGGACAGTTACATGTTTCGGTCATATAATCTCACTCATAATTTATTTAGTAAATTAAATATCTGATTTATACTCATTTATACATTTAAGAATCGTGATTGTAGACGTTAATTTGGGATCTCATCTTTTAACACTTGATCATGCATATTAAAAGTTAGAATCTTAATATTAGTTAAAATAAACATAGTGTATGTCAATAAGTTTCTCCAAGAATTGTCTCTCACGAAATATACAAATTTGGAGAGAAAAAAATCATTAGACTTGTCAGTTGTGAATGTTTAGATACCATAACTCCATAAGTAATACTGCAAACATTCGGACATGGAAATACAACAGAGTTACTTTGTGCGTTGTGTTTTCTCTGCTACAGAGATGCATTCTCTTCTTCGTATGTGATTACATTGCGTGTTCAATAGGAGCGGATTAGTCGTGAATTCGTGATGGATTGCTGCTACTTGCTACATGCACCAATGAGTCTTTTAGTATATGATTGTACAATACAATGATATGCTTCTTGTATATGATCTTGGGAAAGCATATAGAGCATGGTTATAAAAAAAAAATGATGGGTTGTATATACTTTTGTTTTTTCCTCAATTGAATATATTTCACCGTTATAAAAAAATGCATGTGATTCAATACCATATAACATAAGAGATCATAATTGTCACGACCCCAAGTCGAAAATCGTGCGGGTATAGAGGCCCAAAGCGGACAGTATCTTGTCGGAAAAAGGTTTGGGATGTTACAATAATATCTCCTACTATGTAAAGTATATATTGTTACATTTCAATTAATGGGGGAATATAAGGAAGTGGTTAAGCATCATACACGGCCCTGTATAAGATCCAGCATAACTTTCTCCCAACAACTCGAGTTATTGGGAGCAACTAGTTCATGACATGATATCAAAGCCTCGAACCAAAAAGGTCATGTGTTCAAGTCCTCACGACCCCCAATATTAACCGTTGTCTTTCAAGCACATGGTAGGGCTGGGCCTGTGCAAACTTCAAGTCCATGAGTCGGCTTTCGTTTGAGGGGGCGTGTAAGGAAGTGGTTAAGCACCATACACGGCCCTGTATAAGATCCAGCATAACCTTCTCCCAACAACTCGAGTTATTGGGAGCAACTCGAGTTATTTTGGAAGACCATGATGAGTGTCCTTCGGGTGGAGCACCATGCAGCAACTCAAAAGGGTTACCAACATATTTGATCTTGATCGCCAAACAATATACACATCCCGCGACGTCATTTTCCTGGAACAGGTGTACCCTTTCCTTCAGCTTCCTTCATCCCAGCCTGCTTAACCTCTTTTGCACACAGAATTGGCGGGTAGTGATTTTTGCCCCGTCCTCCTCTCCACAGCGACTGGGCCTCCTCATCAGACTACACCTGGGCCCAACTCGGCGGCTTCTCCTCCTGGGTCGGCCTCCACCCCTCGGCCCGTCCCGCTGGCACCCAACTCGGCGGCATCTCCTCCTGGGCCGGCCTCCACCTCTCGGCCCGTCCCGCAGGCACCCAGTCCTGCCTCCGCCCACAGCCCAGCTCAGCCCACCTTGTCCAGGCCTCTTCCATCCACTGAAGTCTTGGATGTCAGCCCAATCACCACCATTCCGGGCCCCTCAGAACTCGACCAGCCCAGCTCTCCCCCGCCTGCTTCTGTTCCACCAGAGACTCCCAGCTCTCCCTCACCTATCTCTGGTCCACCCTCGGCTCCCACCTTGCGTCACAACACTAGCACCACCCATCTCCCAGGTCATCTTTCCGTGTATGACGTCCAGCTTCCTGGCAAGCCCAAGGCCCATCAAGTCCTCTACCCTCTCAGCAATCATGTTCACTACGACCGGCTCTCTCCTGAGCATCGAGCCTACGTGGCCTGCATCTCCGCCCTCGACGAGCCTCGCTATTTTTACCAGGCGGTTCGGTATTTGCATTGGCGCCAGGCCATGCAGACCGAGATCTCGGCCCTGGAAGAAAATGGCACCTGGACTCTCACCTTCCTTCCTCCGGGTAAAAAGGTTATCAAGTGTAAATGGGTCTACAAGATCAAGTTCCACCCTGATGGGTCTATCGAGCGCTACAAGGCTCGTCTCGTGGCGAAAGGCTTCACCCAGATCGAAGGCATTGATTACCATGACACCTTCGCCCCAGTCGCCAAGCTCGTCACCGTTCGCTGTGTCATTGTTGTTGCTGCTGCTCGTGGTTGGCATCTTCATCAACTGGATGTCAACAACGCTTTTCTTCATGGTGATCTCTCGAGGAAGAAGTTTACATGGAAATTCCTCCAGGCTTTGCCCGCCCAGGTGACACCCGTGTCTGCCGCCTTCACAAGTCCATATATGGACTTCGTCAGGCTTCCCGCAACTGGTATCATAAGTTTTCGGCTGCCTTACTTTCACTTCATTTTCGGCAAAGCCGAGCAGATCATTCACTCTTCATCTACCAGCAGGGCTCGGTGTTCATCGTGGCTCTCATCTACGTTGATGACGTTATTCTCACAGGCAATGATCTCCCCTTTATTCAACATGTTAAGGATTTCCTTCATGCCAAGTTCACCATCAAAGATCTCGGTCCTCTCAAGTATTTTTTGGGCATTGAAGTTGCTCGTTCCTCTCGTGGGGTTGTGCTGAACCAACGAAAATACGTGCTTGATATCTTGGCCGATTCTGGACTTGAGGGGGCGCGTCCTAGCTCCTCCCCGATTGAGCAGAACCATCAGTTAGGTCGTACGGAGTCCCCACCGTTTTCTGATCCTGGTTCTTATCGACGGTTAGTTGGCCGCCTGCTCTATCTCACTGTTACTCGCCCTGACATCACCTACACTGTCAACCTTCTCAGCCAGGGCGTTAATTCTCCTACTCATGCCCATTTTGATGCTGCTCAGCAGGTGTTACGCTACCTCAAGCAATCTCCTGGTCGAGGTCTCTTCTTCCCTGCCACGAGTAATCTCCGTCTAGTTGCCTACTGCGACGCCGACTGGGCTGGTTGTCCTTTGACCAGACGATCTACCACAGGGTATTTTCGTTCGGCTTGGTGTGGCCCCTATCTCTTGGCGCACCTAGAAACAAACAGTGGTTGCCCGCTCCTCTGCTGAAGCCGAGTACGGAGTACCGATCCATGGCTAGCACTGTCAGCGAGGTTCTCTGGCTCCGTTGGTTGCTCACTAATCTTGGTGTTCCTTCTGCTGGTCCTACTCCTCTTTTGTGTGACAACCAGGCTGCCCTTCATATTGCAGCCAATCCGGTTTTCCACGAGCGCACCAAACATGTGGAAATGGATTGTCATTTCGTCCGCGAGCGTGTCCAGTCTTCTGAGATTACTCCGCTCAAGATCCCTACCGCACAGCAGCCTGCCGACATTTTCACGAAGGGACTGGGGGTCGATCAATTTGCATATCTCGTTTCCAAGCTTGGCATGGTTGATATCCACGCCTCCGCTTGAGGGGGGCGTGTTACATTTCAATTAATGGGGGACCAACTTGTAATTTTCCCCATTAATTTCTCTTCCTTATGCGCGTAGGGTTTATGCAGCAACTTGTATATATATGTTGAATAAGTGCTGCTGCCGCCAAGTTCTGTAACACAGAAAGAAAATCAATAAACCCTAAAGTCGAGAGTCTCAACTCTCCGTGGATTAGTCCCGTTCACACCGAACGGGAATACCACGTAAAATCGTGTATTCGTGTCCTAGTTTCGTCGATTTTAATATATACAAATCTAAAATGACACTGTTATCACAGTGCTAATTACAGATAGATACATTAATTGCCAAATTAGAAAAAAGGAAGGGAGGGGTGGGGGAAAAAAACGTATTTTCAAAGTCAGTCAGTCACTCCATGATTAGTTCCTCTACATATTCAAAAGTGAACTTGAAAGAAATTACCAGCAAAGCAAGAAGTTAGCGAAAGAATGATTAGTAAGCAGTGGAGGAATCGTCACACACGCGGCTAGCTAGGTGGGAAGGCGGGAACTTGGACCTGCTGCCTCCCTGCCCTGTTGTGCAAGGCAGGAAAGTACCAAAACACAATTTATTATTTATCACAATAATAACACATTAATAATAATTATTATTATTATAAGATAAAATAAGCCACTTTCCCCGACTCGCTCCACTCCAAGACTCAACTGCTGCAATGCAATGCAAGTAATAAACGAAAACGCGGCCGGCCGCGGAAAACAGCCTACTGCCAGCGCCACCCACCTTCCACTCCTTACTTAATTACCCAAAATGCCCCCCGCGGTAGCCCTAACCCGTTTACTTAGCCCCCAAGCCAAGAACAAACTATTCGAGAAGAAGGAAGAGAGATAGAAACGGGAGAAATCCGTCACTTCCCCACAAACACGTCACTGCCACTACTAACGCCACCGCCTCACGCTTTCCTTCCCCCCTTCTTCCTTCCTTCCTTCCTTATAAATACGTCTCCTCCAACCCCAGCCCTTTCCCCATTCCACACTCCAAAACATTTAATTTCCTCCCCAAACAAACAAACAAACAAACTCTCATGACCATGAAGAGATTCCCCGCCGCCGCCGAGCTCGACGACATGGCCAACTGCTTGATTCTCCTCTCCAAGATCGCCGCCACCGAGAACGACGCCGTTTTACACCAATCCACCGCCACGGCAGCGGGGGACGGTCGCTTGTTCGAGTGCAAGACCTGCGAGAAGAAGTTCCCGTCGTTTCAGGCGCTGGGAGGCCACCGGGCCAGCCACAACAAGCCCAAGCTGCAGCAGCAGGCCCACAACAACCACCCCCTGGATTCGCCCCCGCCGGCAGCAAAGCCCAACATTAACAAGACCCACGAGTGCGCCATCTGCGGCCTGGAATTCGCCATGGGACAGGCCCTCGGTGGCCACATGAGGCGCCACCGGGCCGCATTGAGTTTGCTGCCTGCGGTCGCCATCATGAAGAAATCCTCTTCCTCCCCCACCGCCGCCGCCAAGAGTACTGGTCACGGCGGGAAGAGGGTTATGTGTTTGGATTTGGATCTCAACTTGACGCCGGTGGAGAATTACGACTTGAAGTTGCAGTTAGGCAGCGCCCTCCAGATTGCTTGAATCATTTTCTTTTCCCGATTCTTATTACATTCGTTATTTGTTGCCTCATTTTTTTTTTTTAGATCTAGACAGAACAGAGATAGCGTGTTAGTTTCATGGACATATTCACATATGTAGTCTTTTTTTCTTCTGGACAGAGATGGATTCTTTTTGTTCATATCTCATTCATTTATTAATATCGACAGATTTCTCATATCTGGTTTCTCTCTTGATCTTATTACGTTTGGCTACCACAAATCAGTTTAGTATATTGTTGGGTCAGGTAATTAAAAAGAGCTCGCGCGCCTTGTGTATCCTCATGCCCCGTCAAAATGTATCAATACAAATTGAATTGAACAAATACAAAGTAACTGAGATAATTAAGCAAATTCCGCTGTAGCTAATTGGAAGCCAAAGAATTCAAACGAAAGATAATTAAGTAAATGATATTTTAATAATTGGAATCGAACCAAACATACTTACAATTACGTTCCTCATTTTTCTTTTGGTTTTGGTCTCGTCCTATCTCCTTTCGACCTGGTACTACACCTAGGGTTGTCCGTTTGGTTTTGGTTTTGGTTTTAACCGAAACCAAACCAATTGGAAAGCTAATGGTTTCAGTTTTTTGGTTTTAAACCAATAAGCAACTTAATGGTTTTGGTTTGGTTAAAACCGAAAAACCAATAGAAACCATTAAGAAACCAATAAGAATAAAATTATTTATCAACATTTTTTTTTGTTTCTTTTGACACGCATGCCAACCAATAATTTGTTATGGCCATTTACCATTATTATGACGTTTATTTAATAAAAAGGAGGGAAATAGGAATAAATATGAGTGTATGAGTACATGTTGGTTTTTGGGATTTGGTTTTTGGTTTTTCATACTTAATGATTTGGTTAACCAAACCAAACCAAATTGACAGCCCTGACTACACCGATCAATGCCCATTAATTATCCCACGTCAATTAATGACATTATCCCACGTCAATTAATTTGGTTTCATTTTCAGTCAGTCACGCACGACTAAGGTGTTTGGGGACCTATCTATTGAAGAAAAGGAAGAGGAGACTAACGTGTTTCGGACTTGTAGTAACGAATGGTATGGTATCCATATAATTTATTCATATACTGATAAGTCTGATGATAATTAAGTAGCGGTCCAGCTCCAGCATGCTTCACACTTCAATTTGTGTACATTATTTTCCAGTTGTCTCCACGATCGAACAGACAGTACTCTACACTACAGATCGTATTCATTATTGTTTAATTATTGACGACTATGAGAATCCATGCTTAAATCAGATCTTATAGTTAAGGCAAGAGCGGCTAGTTAGCGAGTGGCTCGACGTTCGAATAGGAAAAAGCCTGCTCGAAACTTGACTCGTTTGCTGATGAGTCGAGTTGCTGCTAACTTTGTTTAACTGGCGAGCTAGTTAGCTCGGTTCGATGGCTGGTTAAGCTCAATTTGTGAGACGGCTTCTTTAGAGTTTATTAGAAGTCTCAATATTGTTGCTAGAGAACAAACTGGATTACCGGTAATGGGCGAATCCATTTATATCTTATGGGTTGGGTTTTGATGATTCATGTGATTGCTAAATTATCTATCTCACCCTATGTGATGTTTAAGAAATTGAGCATGTGATTAAATATGTTTTATTTTTCAATTTTTAAAAGAAATTATGTATTATAGATTGCTTCAATACTATGAAATAACATGATTTGGACTAGTTAAAATTTATGAACTAAATAATATAACACCAACAAAGTATAACTTCACTACATGAGATAGTTAATGATGGAAATTTGTTTTTTTATCATGACATCAATCACATGTATCTTATAATAACATACAAAATGAATGTATTAAACACAAGTGAAGCTTTTAGTAAACAAGCAAGCTCGAGCTCGACTCAGCTCGTTAATAAACAAGCTGAGCTCGAACTTGGCTTGACTTGTATACCAACGAGCAGAACCCAAGTTAGGGTAAAGTTTGACTCGACTTAGCTCATTTGCAGCCCTACTGAAATTGCATAATCAATTGTAATTAAAACACAAAGCTAGATGTAGACATATGATATTATTTGAGAGCACTTATATTATGTCTTAAAATATTGGTGTTTCGAGATACAAATTGAACTTGTACCATAACATGCATAATTTTCATACCTTAAATCCAAGAAACTAACAAGGACACAAATTCATAGCAACACAACATCCACCATAGCGTCATAAATATTGACAAAATGTCACATAGAGACGTGATCGTCTCTACTATGTAGTGGAGTGCGGTATGTGGAAGGAGGGGACAAGATTTTCAAATTAGGGTTGAGACTTTGGGTTTCACTGGAGAGTTAGGAGAGTGACCGAGTGGGCTATTTACATGGATTGTGAAGTGGACTAGGTTTACGATCTGGTTAGGTAAACTATGAGTCAAACCAGACTAGGCCAAGATATCAAAATCCATAATGACCATGGACAAATTAAATCATTTTTAACAATATAAGGTTAGAACCAAACTGTACCATCTATTTTGATATACCATTTTTTCAAATGGTCCAGTCTATTTTGCAACCTCATAATCAGTGTTTGCTAAACCGTACCATACTAGCGATTCAACCACAACAATCGAATACAAGAACTCAAGTCAGGATAGGATTTTACAAGTATGATACGTTAATTCACGATTTTGCAACCCCATGACCAGTATTAACTAAACCGTACCGTACTAACGGTCTGACACAACAACCAACTATCGAGTATAGGATTTTACATGTATGATATGTTAAACCATCATTTATTCACAAAATATCCTATGACTAACTTATCTCATACTACTATTTTACAATTCTTGGCCACAAGTAGGCCTGCAAATGAGCCAAGCTATTCGCGAGCAACTCGAGGCTCGAATCGGGGAAAACTCGTTCGAAACTCGATTCGTTTACTAACGAGCCAAGCTTGAGCCTAGCTATGTTCAGCTCGTGAAGCTCGCGAGCTTGCTCGACTCGGTGGCTTGTTGAGCTCAACTTGTGAGTTGGCTCATTTAGAGCTCATGAGATGTCTCAACATTGTGGTTTGAGGCCCAACTTGATCACTGACTTATGGACTAATCGATCTAATTTGGACTTTCATAATTCATAGGATTGTTAAATTATATATCTCACATCATGTGAAGTTTAACATGTTGAAAATGTAAGAAAATATGCCTTATTTTTAATTCTATAAAGAAATTATGTACAAAATTGTTTCGATACTATGAAATAACATGATTTGAACTAGTTAAAATTTATTAACTAAACAATATGACATCTAAAAATTATAATATAAGATTAATTAATGTTGAACATTTAAATTTTTTTCGCTACATCAATCACATGTACCATACTCGACATACAAAATGAATGTATTAAATACGATCTAAGAATTTAGTAAACAAGCCTAGCTCGGGCTCGACTCGGCTCGTTAATAAATGGCTCGGACTCGAGCTCAGCTCATTTGTTAACGAGTCAAACTCAAACTGGGATAAAACTCGGCTCAGCTCGGCTCATTTGCAGCCCTAGCCACAAGCAACTAATTGTCTTAGCACTTAGCAGCAAACCGTTTTGAGTCGATGCATCCCACGTGTACGGTCGTTGATGAATGTAGGAAACATGGCTTGTGTGTTCTTGTACGAGCACGCGGGTTGTGCCAAAGACCTAAAGTTCAAGTGTGAGCTCTGTTCTCCGTCACGAGAAAAGATCGAGTGCTGCTCTCCACAGGATATTCAATCATCTATCCGTCCGTCCATCCATCCATCCATCAGATTCCCTTCCTCGCCGCCGCAATTCTGCTCCGTTCCCTTGTCGTTTCTCCTGCAACCGACGCGTGTCGCTTCGTAGTGAAAACCCCCCCGTTTCCCGGCTAACCGATTGGCGGCGGTGGCTGAATCCTTCGCCGCTCGACTCCAATAGGCAATCACCGGAGCAACCGAATCTTGAATGTCCAGATAATTTGCTTGGGGGACTCGGAAATTGGTGAAAAGAAAACAGAAAGTGAGTGAAGAATCGTGAAGCGGAAGCCATAATCGACGAGATGGTACGGCTGCACAAATTTTTTTTTTTTTTTTTGTTTAAAGTGCTTTTCTTTTACCCTTTCGTTTCTGTTGTTAGTCAATGGGGCTAGCTCTCTAAGTAGATGAAAATGGTGTTGTTGGACCAAGAATTAATCAGGGTTCATGTTCTTTTTTAGAAAGCTCGTAGCTTTGACCTGAATTGTCTTCTGCTGTGGACTCTGGTGGACTTAGCCACCATATGTTAAATGTCATGGTGATTGTATGGAGTCTTGTCAAGAAATTTGGGAGAGGATATGTTGGCAGAGTAAATGCTCTTAGTTTCTGCTAGTTCTTCATTACAGAATTGTGTGAATTTGCTGAATTCTGGATATACAGTGGGATTTTTTTTTGTGTTATACTGTGCAGATGTGTTTCTTTGTCAGTGTTAAGGCTCCAACCTTCTTACGGTTAGGATCAAGGCTTAGTTCGTCTTTGCCCCCTTTTATTATTGTGGGTGTGCTTTGCAGGACGAGGGTTTATGGTTGCGGAAGGATGCTGATAGAGATCTATCATTTAATAGCTCTTCGTCAAGGATAGAACCGAATAAGAGAACTCATCAGTGGTTTATTGATGGTGCTGATCTTGACTTGTACCCCTACAAAAAGAAAGCTATGGAATCTTCAAATGCTATCATGCCAGGCTCCGAAATTCCCTCTGGAGGTCCTTCTGCATGGGACCATCATTCCACCAATTTTCAATCTGACCAATTTGTCCACCAGTTATTTCAATCCGAAGCAGCAGGGTCGGACAGCTTCTCCGAGAGGATTGTATCTTCGGGAGATCCTGAAGCATGCATTAGCTCTGGTGGTTTAAGAACAGTCAAAGTCGATCAGGTGAAGGACGAAAACAACGTATATCAGGATCAAAAACAACTTGGCTCCCCTGCTGAAAATGTCACCAGCATCTCTGAGAACCAGGAAGTTGATAATACAGGGAGTGAAAGTCATTTCATATTGATGGAGCAGGGTTCCCACAATAAAGAAGTGAATGTTCTGTTGATTGGTGAGACCTACAATGGAGGGGAAGAAGTCCGTGCTGAAACGATCAACACCACCACCAGTTATGTTGAAGGGGTCAATAATGTCGGCACAACTAATGTTTGCAGTGATAAGGGAGACGGGAACGTGATACTGTTTAATGGACTTCATGACGTGCATGATACTGTTGGCCAACCCCCCAGCAGCTATGAACAACCCTACAATGTGTCTTTGGCTCACACACCAGAACTAGTCCACAAAAGCGAGTTTGATACCTCGAATTCTTGTGCTGCAGCTAAATCCAAGCCACAATCCTCTAGGAATAAACTAGAGTTGAAAACATCCAGAAAAGAAGCTCCACCGAACAGTTTCCCTTCTAATGTCAGAAGCTTGTTATCCACTGGGATGCTTGATGGGGTCCCGGTGATGTATGTTGCATCATCACGAGAGGTAAATCTTATGAACTTTTTCTGCCTTGGATCTGACATTTGTTGATGTTGAGTTTACTTAAGTCATGTTTATCTGCATAATTGCAAGGTTATCCGTGCTGTGGTGAAGGGTACTGGTTATCTCTGTGGTTGTCAGTCTTGTAACTACTCCAAGGTATAAGATATTATTTTATCATTGCATTAAACTCTCTCTATAAGGTGTTCTTGGAGATGCTAATTGTTAAGCCTCCTAAATTTCATTAGGTGCTGAATGCATACGAGTTTGAACGCCACGCTGGTTGTAAAACCAAACATCCGAACAATCATATCTACTTTGACAATGGGAAGACTATCTATCAGATAGTGCAGGAGTTGAGGAGCACACCCGAAAGCAAATTGTTTGATGTTATCCAGACGGTGTTTGGTGCGCCAATCAATCAGAAGTCATTTAAAATCTGGAAAGGTAATGTGCATGCTCATCTTTAAACTGGCAATCTTTTGACCATGGTCTGGAGAGGTTCGCCCTTCTATTTGGCACTAATTCGTGTTTGCTTTCCTGGATATACATATTCTGACAGCAATCCTTCTCCTTTGTAGAGTCATTTCAAGCAGCAACGCGGGAGCTGCAGCGTATCTATGGCAAGGAAGAGTTGAATCTGTGAAAATGATGTTCTGCATTGAAGGAAGTTGAGGCTCCTGCTTGAGAAATGGAAGTGCATGGTCAGGCGCAGGAGCAGTAGCTAAAGAAGAATGAAGATCCTGCTAAGTTGTGGATTGCATGACCATCGTAATGCTGGTTGTGCGTTCTTTAGTTGATTCTATGTAAATTAACTAACAAGGAATGCTAAAAGCACTCGTGTTTGTCGTTGATTGCGAGTCATTTTCTGTCATATAAAGGACGAAGCAAAAATGACCTGGATTTTCTTCTTACTTGTGCAATTGGAAGGACATCGTCTGAGAAAGATTCCTTTACATTCAATAGCTGAATAGAGACAGTCAACACTCTCAAATGAAGAGTAGAGAAGAGAGGAAAACAAAGTATAATATAATATGTACTAATTTCTTACCATTTGAAATAGTTGTCCAGCTTGAGTTTAGTGGGATGGTCGAAGAGAAAATCAGAAGAGGGAAAATTGTGAAAGTCAAACAGCATCCTCTAAATACAAATTACATTGCCATGTACCAAAAACGCCAGAACCAAAAAAAATAAAAATTAAAAAAAAAATAGTAATCAAATAGACCAAAAAAGAGAATAATAAACAAAGAAATGAAGAGTTCATCATCACTCATGGTAGTCATCAGAGAAGAGGTAACTAGTTGCATTTCCCTAATAGCTTTGCCTTCAATCCAAGTGGGTGGAGGGTCTACTTTGGATTCAGGATCCTACACAACAACATACGAGCTGGGACCTTCTGTAACTTATCCGCAGCAACCCGATTTCGGGCCCTCTTGGCCAGCACCAGCTGCCTGGTCTCCTTGATTGATTCGAATGGTCGTTGGCTGGCAAGTATACAAGAAAACACAGTATAGGAGAGCTGGCATTGCAAAAAATTATCATCATAGTAGGAGTAGAAAGTATCTTTTGACAATAAGGAAACTACCTCGGTCCTTGAATCGGTATCAGCAAGCCTTTGCTTGATGTCCCTTGCTATTGAGAAGAAAACCTCCTCCACATTTAGATTTGTCTTTGCACTCTGCGATTCCCAAGTTTGTGGACTGTTAGTTAGTAACGAGATGACTTCAGTGGAGATTGATCCAAGTAAAATGTCTCACTTACAGTCTCGAAGAATTTGATCCCATACTCATCGGCAAGTGCTTGTCCCTTTGCTGTAGGCACCGCCTACCAGCAGAAAAAGTAGACAGTATGAGAATTGTATGAAATAGCCCCGTTCTTAAAGAAAAAGAGAGGCAATTAATAAAAATGGAAGCATACCCGTTTGCTTTCGTCCATGTCTGCCTTGTTTCCAACCAATATCTTGTTAACATTATCAGAAGCATGTTGTTCAATGTTGCGGATCCAATTTCTTATGTCTGCACCAAGTAGTAGTCAGTCGGAGACAATTCCAGTGAGGTTATAAAGCTGAAAGACAAATCGACTCTCACAGAGGAAATGAGTGCAACTTCTTAACCATGAATCCCATGATAAGGGAACGCGATTACCAGCAACATGCAAGGGAAATAAAGGAGACATACTGTTGAACATTTTTAAACAGGTCAAAACTTGAATGGCTCTATTTAGTTTAAACTGATAGGAAAGAGGAGACCTACTGTTGAAAGATGATTCATCAGTAACATCATAGACCAGTAAAATTCCCATAGCTCCACGGTAGTAGGCTGTAAAACATAGCAGCAGACCATCAGTTACCAAGATCACAGATGAGAACAAGGTCCGGAAAGAAGAATAGCAAGTTCCACGCTCTCTGGCAAAAACTATAGATGCTCAGCAACTAAAGCTTCTAAGCTTTCAGAGATCCATCAACTACTCAGCTGTGCAGGTAAAATGCATGTAAAACAGTAGATAAGAAGCAAAACACACCATCTTTTACCACTGACTACTAACAATTAAGAGCCTACCAGTTGTGATCGTTCTGAAACGCTCTTGGCCTGCTGTATCCCAAATTTGAAGCTTAATTCTCTTGCCATCAAGCTCGATGGTTCTGATCTTAAAATCAATACTGCACAAGGGAAGTACTTGTAGAATTTAGAGCGCTCAGTCAGGATCCAAAACAAACATGGTAAGATGGAAAGTGCCAACCCAATGAAAACATACCCTATAGTGGTGATAAAACTAGTAGTGAAGGAGCCATCAGAGAAGCGCAGAAGAAGGCAACTCTTGCCCACACCTGATGACATAGATAACACAAACCGATCAAAAACGAGGGTACTTGTCAATTTGCAGATAGAGATTGTGAGTTTCTGCATCATAATCAAACACAAGTTCACACGGAATCAACCCTGAAGAACCCGTTTTCCAGCATCCTTCCAATGTATATGGATTGATATTCTGGTCATCATGTTCCTAACTATTCATGTTTAACATTCTTGATATCGCACTATCTAATATCAATCTTCGGTAAAAGGATTCACTTGTACACTTCAATCAATCTAAACAGGAAGTTAAATGAGCAGGTAGCATCCAGATAAAATGCATGGAACGGGTTATAACAGGAAGAACAGGTTAAACCGCAACCTCAGAGAATGCCACTTAGCCAAACCAGTGGAAAGAGACATAGATGATGTAACCCCACGATGCAGCGAACAACCATTGTTAGTGGGTGAAAGTGACAACGTACAGAATTCGTCGAGACACATCAACTCTCAAGGAAAGAGTTTTTCATAACCAAATACAAAAATGAACCTATTACTCTTTCTCCTAATCGAACCTTTTCTTCTATATAAAAAACGACTATCAAATCAATTGGATCGCAGAGCTAAATACAGAAACCAATAATTCCATCATCGAGTACCATTAGAATCAGGAAGTTAACGTATTGGGACATCAGATGCCTTGCTTTCTGGGAAAAGGAACGGAGAAAGGAGGCGTAAGAGTAACACAATGTACGTACCACTGTCGCCAATCAGAAGTAGCTTTATGAGGTAATCGTAATCAGCTCGAGCTCTGGCGGGCGGAGCAGCCATTGTCAAACGTATCCAAACAGACCTTCACCTCTCTGCAAAACCAAAAACCGAAACGCCAAAAATCAAACGGAAAACCGGGCAGAAACTTAAACAAATGCAGAGCGCGCGGAAGGAAGGGGGAAAAGGTACCAGATCAGAAAACAGGAAAATAAGAGAAGCGACGACGAATGAGATCGGAACGTAAGGGTAAGACGACGGCGGGAACGGGGATTGTAAGAACCACAGAACGGGGCCTCCGAGAGGGTCAGAACCAGGAAGCCATGGGGGGAGGATTGTGAGAGAGAGAAAGAGAAACCAAAACGGTTCTTCTCTTTCCTTTTTTTGCCTATTTTTCTCTAAGCAGATGGATATTTTTGCGGAGCAGTGGTGTCCGCTCTCCACAGAGGGGCAGAAAGTAAAAGCTTTGATGAATTCTTCTTTACCCCGCGATAATGGCGGAATGGAATTGCTACAATCTTTAATTATGCTATCCTGAGACTCTCTCCCCGCACAATGACGCCGTTTTGGTTTACCTTGCGGCCTTTTTATTCCCCGCCTGCCGGACGCCGATCGCCTTCCGCCGTTGTTTGCTTCTTCCTCCGCCCGCGTGCGGTAACGTCGAACGTGGTTTAGCGAGAGAGAGCTGAATGAATAGAAGAAAAAGAGGAGAGAGAGAGAGAGAGTGGGGGTGGCGCCGTATACTTCCAATGAGGCAGCGACAAGTGGACAACGCAGAATGGAGGAAAAGCAGTGTGTCTTTTCTCATTGCTGAGATGGCGCTCGGCGCTTTTTTCTGTAGTTTTTAACTAATTTATTTATTAGACCATTGCCTGCAACCTGGGCACTGCAGGCTTGAGCCGAGGCCCATAGGAAAGATGAAAACCCAATTTCCAATGGCAAAATACACCGGTATAGCCATAATTTTCATGTTTGTAATAAATATAGTTATAACTATCCAAAAATACAAAATAGCCTAAAAATTGGATGATAGTGTGACAAATAAAGTCATTTTCGTTACAACTTTGACGGCGTTAGTGATTCCGTCAGTTATGTTAGCAATACGCTGATTAGGATGCCAACTCAGCGCACACGTCATCAAATACGTCTCATATATGACATAACATTAGGTAATCACATGTATCACATATGACATATAAATATTAGAGTATTTATATTATAAATTATCTTAGAGTTGAGCTCGAGCCGAACTTTCGATCTTAATAATGTGTCAAGATTTAATAAATGAGTTGGCACGTGTTCGACTCGACTTGGCTCGTTTATAAATGATTTTGACGGGGTAATCTAATTGTTGTGGTCTCGGGATGATGTAATTGGAGCCCCAAGAAATGTTATGGATATGACATTGTTTAATGACTTCATTAATGATTTTGCTCTGTTTAGGGGTGGCAGTTCGGTTGCCGGTTAGCAGCTAACCGGACGGTTTGATCGAGAACCGCAGGTTAGCGGCTAACCGCAAACCGACACAAATAATGGATGGTCGGTGTTCGGAGAGGGAGAGCTTGGCTGCGGTTAGCCGAGTAACCGAAGGCGGTTAACCACGGTTATCCGACTAACCGTAGCTAACCGATCGAGTTCCCAACAATGTTTATACGGCGGCGTTTAAACCAAAACAAGGTCGTTTCTCAAACTACCCAGCCAACCCCCAACCCTAACCTCCTTCATCGATCTCTCCCTCTCCCTCTCACCCCGCCGCCTCCACCCTACAAAATACCAAATCCTTCAGCCCCTCTCCCTTCCCCTGTTCGGCGGTTGTTCCCCAATTCCCCCGCCGAGCGCCATCTCCCTCGACCTCCAACGACCTCTCCACAAACCCCGCGACCACCGGCGAAAAGTTTGGCTCTGGATTTTGGCAAACGGAATTGAATCGGCGACGATTCAATCGGGAGAATACAACGATGGCGATGATGCTCGATGAACTCAGAAATCCCCCTTTTTCGTTCCCAATCTCCTCCCTATCTCAATTTCATTTTCCACCCAATTTTTGTATCTTCTCTCTCGTCTCCTTCACTTCTCGCCGTTGACGCAAGCTTTGATTCTCTCGGCTGACAGCCATAGGCGCCAGTGCCGCTTCTTCTTCAGTCGATGTTATTGGGTCGGTTACCCAGTTTTTAATCCAAACCTGCCATAATTTTTCGGTCGCACGGCTACCCGAACCAAAAATCGGTAACCGACCGATCGGTGGTCGGCTAACCGTGCTCCCTTTCTCGGTCGGTGATCGGCTGGCAGGAGGAGGTGGTCGGCTAACCGTTAATCGAAAATTTGGTTTCGGTTAAACCGAAACCGACCGACTGCCACCCCTAGCTCTGCTTGATCTTCCTTTACTTGACTATAAATTCACGTGATCAAGTCAACAGGCTAATCCGTCTTTGTCTCGTTTAGATCGGGCTCTTATTTTGCCAGATTGGGAGAGTAAGTTTTCCGATTGTTGTTTGAAATCGTTTGTTCGGATTGGATCTGATCATTGTGCCCTCCTCCTTTCTTGTGGGGAGGATCGTACTATTTGCCGACCTTGGCGATTTGAGTTTATGTGGACTGATCACGACGAGTTCGAGGATTAGCTTAGAATTTTTTTTATTTTTTTATGAAGGTGAGGATCAGCTTAGAATTGTTGTGGAGGAAATTTAAATGATACACCAAATACTCTTAGCCATGTCCAATGCAATAGCCGCACATCAGCGATATTGCTTGGAACATCTCCAAGAACATTTCTCTGAGCCAACCTTCAACAACAATAACAGCTTTCCCCACCCCTGACTCTTCATGTCCAGTGGCACGTTCGACCTTCTTCCTCTCTTTTACCTCGCAGCTTCCCCACCTTAGACTTAACCTTGGCAGAAGCAATCCCAACTTCCTTAAGCGAAACTCCAATTTGGGCGAGCCTATTGACTTTAACGAGAATGGTGCTTGGAGGGACTTGATCGGAAGGTGGAGATTGAGCATTGAGCTTTTTGAGAGCATGATTGCAAACCCTTTCTACATATTGGGTTGCAGCTTTACCGGAGGTGGCATTGGCGATTGCTTGGTTGAAGATTTTGGTTGGGTCGGTGATGAGAGAGACGGAAAGGTGGATGGTGTAATCTAGGCATGCCCTCCAGTCAATGCAAGATCATGGGCATTAGCAATTGCTTCGTTCGTCTTGTGGGTGAACTTCTATGGATCAATAACTCAATCTTCTGTTCTATGAAAAGTTCTTTGTTCTTCCGGTTAGGGAGTCTTGGCACGCTGAAGGTAATCATGGGCTGAATCGTTCCCTCGTTGGATGCGAGTGAGCTGCTTGCGGAGTTGCCCAATGATGACCGTCGATCCAGAACCATAAACGCGCTCCAGCGTATCCCAGGCGGCCTTGGCAGTGGTCTTATTGACTATATTGGGAATAACCGCCTCTGTCAAAGACAGATTAATCCAAACCAAAGCTATCTGGTCACGTTCATACCATGTCTGGAAGGCAGGATTTGGTTGATTTTCAATCAACTCTGGGGGTGCGGGAAGGGTACCGTCGACGTGACCGATGAGGCGATGACATCGGAGAAGTGGTTGCAGCTGGGCCTTCCATAGAAGGTAATTGGTTGATGTCAATTTCACAGAGAGTTGCGGATTGGAAGGTAAAAAGATAGAGGAAGCAGCAGAGGAAGAAGATGGAGAAGAAGAAGATGTCGTGGAAGTCGTCGACATGGTGATGCAACAGAAAAAGAGAACAGAGGTAGAAAGAATAAGGAAGGGAGAACAAAGGGCACAGAACTCGTTGGAGTTTACTGAGGCTCTGATACCATGTTAAGAACCAGTTGATCCCAAGAGCTCGAGTTGTTGGGAGAGGTTCAATCGTGGATCATATATCACAACACTAACACGCCTCCTCAAACGAAAGCCACTCACAAGGGCTTGAAATTTGCACAGGTCTGAAGACAAGAATACCATGTGCTTAACAAATGGGGGTCACCGGGAATCGAACACAAGACCTCTCGGTCACAGAAGGCTCAAACATGGCATTAGGGTTAGTATATGAAGTGGGCCGAAGTAGTGGGCCAGCAGCTCCTCGGCCACCAAAACGGCCGCCCCGACCGCGTCCACGAGAGCTGAACCGTCCCCGTCCGCCTCTGAAGGAATACCCGCCGAAGAAGAAGGCCTGTGGTCCGACAACTCCACCGGCAGCCGCAGTCTGGAATCAGCGAAGCTGCAGCTCCTCACTAAGCAGGAGGCTGCTGAGATCCTCGAAGGCAAGGGGTTCAAGCCGAGCCTCGAGATTGCGGGTAAACGGACGGTAGTCTTCATCCAAGCCATCCATGACGGCAGTGACCAGCTCCGTTTCTGTGATTGTTGCACCAAGGGCCACCATCTTATGTTAGAGAGTGGTATATGATCCAGCGTAACCTTCTCCCAACAACTTGAGTTATTGGGACCAACTGGTTTATGACATGGTATCAGAGCCTAGAACCAAAAGGTCATCTGTTCGAATCTCCACGACCCCCAATATTAATCGTTGTCTTTCAAGCACATGGCATGGTGGGCCTGTGCAAACTTCAAGCCCATGGGTTGGCTTTCGTTTGAGGGGGCGTGTTAGAGAGTGGTATATGATCCAGTATAACCTTCTCCCAACAACTTGAGTTATTGGGACCAACTGGTTTATGACACTTCCGTCGTAAATGACTCGACAGCTGATGTGGCAATCTGCGTGGCTTGTTAATTACCTCTGGAGACATATCGTTAGTTATGGGGACGCAAATGGTAACGGTGCGACTACAATTTGAAATAAATGGGTTAGTAGTAACAAAACGTACTTAGATGGTCACCATGTAACAAAAGGGGTTGTTTGGAAGTTGTGATTCTTCAAATTGATGTATTGAGACAATTAGTGTATTATCATTTGATGTATTGAATCAATTGATGTATTAGGCAAATATCTTGTTTGGAGGTTTATATTGTGTTTTTGCTACAAAGCTACAAAAGTTAATTTTGAGTGATTGTGGAGAATCTCAACAAAAAGTAGAGATTGATAATCCCTCAATTTTGAGTGATTGTGGTGGGGCCTCCAAAAAGTAAATACTTGTATTCTAGTTCAATATAAGCCAAAAAAACGACTTAATCTCACAAATACATGAATTAGCTCAATACACTATTTGAAATCACAACTTCCAAACGAATAGTAAACTTAAGTAGCAACCGGTGCATTTAATGTAAGAATATACTTATATCTACAAGTGAGTTTTTATAAGCGGAAGTTAGGTAAAAAAAACCTTTATTCAAGATCCTCTTATGGCGAAGTCACCATTCAAAATCAAAGAAAATTATATTTAAAGGGGACAACAGAGATATACGTTAGGGTTGGGAAAATAGATCATATCGTTTGAAAAATCATAGACCAAACCAGGCTACACAGTTTGGTCCGGACCGTAGATCATAACCTCAGACCAATCAATCAAATATTGATTATACATTATTGATCGAACACTACTTGGAAAAAAATGGCACTTAATGCTCAGAAATGAAATGTTCCAAATGTTCATGAAATTTTTTCTCCTATTAGACCATTTGTATCTATATGAATTAGGATCCTAATTCATTGATCTCTCCGTTTGAGAAATAAACTTAAGAGGATTGAACCATTTTTCTAATTAGAATGATTTGGTACGATCCATGGTCTATAAATATAATATATTAATTCATACGTTCTGTTTGGTCTAAACCACAGTTTACCAAACCATACATAACAATAACAATATACTAACATTTTAAACATATAACAACTTAACACTAACACAAGCTTCTTCATCAGGTTCAAGGTTCAGTTCCCACCGCGGAATATGTGGACTTGCAGCAGCAGCACATGAGCTCGAACACAGACATATCCATTAATCAAGTGCTCCTCCACAAATCTCTTCCAATTATCACCAAAACCAACCTGCAAAACCAACCTGTAAATTGTGATTTGGATTAAAAATGGCAAATGGATTGAATTTATAAATTGGTGGAATCATTAATTAGATTCTTTATCATTACCATTCTTGAAAATGTCGATTTCTACTTCCTCAATACTGGTCTGAAAGGGTTGCTTTCAGCAAATGGATTGAATTTATAAATTGGTGGAATCATTAATTAGATTCTTTATCATTACCATTCTTGAAAATGTCGATTTCTACTTCCTCCATACTGGTCTGAAAGGGTTGCTTTCCCATGAAGAAACTCTCCATATTGTCTAGTAAACATCACTAGCTTATAAACCGGCCCGTTGGCCGAATATAGTTTGACCAATAATCCTTCATGATATCTATAATGCTTGAAAGGACAATAGTTGTACAATGAGTATGGATAAAAACCAAACTCAAATAGATATAAGTATGAATCCATCAAATTCTGCGAATTTATGTTATATATGAGTTTCATACCGTACCCAACCGAATTGAGTAAGTAAATACTCATAATTTTGGGCATAACTGTCAACCTGATGACAATGGATCAAGTTTCTCAAAACTCAAACTTAATCCAGTGGGTGCACCCACTATAAATACCCGGTAAAATACTCATTGGAATTTGGAGGAGAAAGTCCAACCCAACCCAACGGGTAGCCGTAGGTGCATGAGTATTGAGTACCCACAGTTTGTTAAACATAACTGCAAATAATTCATTTGAGCACTCACATCCTTCTATTTTTGAAAATTTGTCTACAACTTTATTGTCATAAAGACTAATAATATCCATTTTATTAGGACTAAATTGACATAAAACTAATTGCATTTATAAATTGTCCAAATCATTAGAGTTAGGTACAAAACGTCATTTCACTTTATAGATGCTGGTTGGGCGGAAAGTGGTTTGATATTGGTAAAACGCATGTCCAACCCAACCAATTAATTCCAAAATGGCTAAAACTCACACACATCAACTCTAAATTTTACTCGCATTAACCGGGTCAAGTCAGGTTGGGTACCCACAAATCCAAGTTCCATTGGCATCCCTAATCCTATCAGCTATGTTTGGGAGGAATCAACATTTAGATGTCCAATGGTTAGCTAACTTAAAATTGAAAATTCAACATAAACAAAGTGCATTATTAAAACAACAAACAACTGAATTTAACTAAGAAATTTTTTTGGAAAATAAGATGAACTACATAGATTGGTCCAACTATTTATTTGGCCAGCTAGCAACTCCATGTGCAGTGACTCTAGTATGATTTGTGGCTAGAAACTCCATATAGTTGCTTCCGAGAAAAGCTCTGGTAGTTGTACTATGAGGTCGTTTGCTTGTAGGATTCTGAAAAATCAAGGATTTGTGTAAAACCCTGGATTTTATCATAGAAGGATTATGTGGGATTTTGTCATTTTGGATTTGTGTTGGATTTGCAAAAGTACTTGTTTGCTTCATGGATTTTGTATTGGATTTATGTCTTTGTAATTGATTAGTTAAAGGTTGAATTTACAACTTTATCCTTGTTAACTACCATCTCCAAGAGAAGAACAAAAGCCACTGCCCTCCGCCATTACCATCTCCATCTCCTTCCAAGTTTATTTTACAGCTTACTCCGCCAACACCACTTGTTCCTTGTGGCTAGCTAACTAAATTTGTATGGACTAAATAAAAAATTGCATCATCTTACACAAACTTGCAGCAGCTACTAAGCAACCTCAAATGTGTTCAAAACTTATAATGATGATAACTTTCAGCAGGTAACGCAAATTTGCAGTAGCTGCTAATAGAAATTTGTAACTTACAATAACGACAACAGAAATTTGTAGCAGCTACTTCATAACAAAAACATGTCAAAAGTTGCAGTAACTACTTCACTCGAGAATGGGAGACGGAGGAAGCTTCATACAGTACACAAACGGGAATGTGATGGAGGTTGCTTGTCAAACCCTACAAATAATGAGGGCAACATCGGAATATTGAAAATATATAAGGTTACTTTTGTCATTTGCTTTCATGGATTATGACTCTTCCCAAAACTCCACCTAAAGAGGTAGGATTTTATAATCCGTGGACCCCACGGATTTTGATCCCACTATAATCCCTTATGCATGGGTCCCACAAGAACTAATCCAACACAATTTTTGCAACAAACATGGACTTTGTCCATAATCCCATAAGTGTGGGTTTTTAGCCCAAAATCCTTGATCAAAATCCCAATAGCAAACGACCTCTATGTAAATTCTCCTTTATGAACGAACAAGGGCTTGGTCTAGTGGTAATACCACTAGTTTAGAGCCTAGAGGTCCCAGGTTCGAATCCCTTAAGTAGTATCTTAATCACAAAAGAGAAACCTATATCACCCTTATAAAAAAAAAAAAGCTTTGGTAGTTGTATATATAAATCCTTGAATTCAAGGCCTACTATGATTATTTCAATCAATGACAAACCATATCAAGCGGTATCAATAGATGATTCTTCAAACATAAGATAAGAAGATACGATCCACATCATAGAAAATGCATATACATAAAATTCCAGCAGTGTTTTACATCTATAAATTCAAGGCCTGCTATGATTATTTCAATCAATGGCAAAATGTACCAAGTAGTATCAATAGTTGATCCTTCAAACAAAACATAAGTAGATATGGTACAAATCATAGAAAATATGTATACATTATCATAGTAAATTATAGATCAAAAGCAAGCAGTATTTTAATCAAATACTTCATATTTGATCTATCAAGACACTTAGGAGGTGCTTACGAATTCCAAAATCAGCCACCCTCCAAGAAAAATATCACCATAACCAATAGTTGTTTCGGTACAAATGATTCAGATTATGAGGCAAGCCCAGGAACTTACAGGTTCTGAAAGCACAATATGGGCACTGGCCACTGGGGCTAAGTCAACCATTGACCCAAACTAAATTTACATTACACAACAGACCCACAACATCATTCTCAATCCCATACTCGTCGCTAATTATAAGCACCCGCTGGACACTAAACCAAAGCTACAAAGTTGGGGATTGATAGGTTCCTTGGAAATATGATACAATGCAGTAAAATAAGAAAAGGAAATAGGATCATGGTTCCATAGATTGGGGAAGGAATAAGTTACCCAGACCATGCATTAAACGGTGTTTCCTCGCTTGTGGGCATTGACAATCAGTGGGCCCGTTCAAGGATGCGAGAAGGTTGTTTCCAAAATTGCCCCTTCGTTGAAACGCTATGGAGGCTCCTGTTTTTTCCTTGCTAACCTATTAGCTAGGATCGTTGCTACACATTTGTATAGAACATTGCAACGGGAGATGTGGCGAAAGAGCTCCATCTGATATGCATTAAGTACTTTAGGGATTCTCCCCAACGTTTTTGCTTGTAGGGTGTATGCATGTTTGGATGTAGCAACCGTCCGGGACATTGACGCCGCTGTGGAGGAGTTGAGAATCGAATCCCTAGTGAAGATGAGCCTGAAGTAATCAACATTTAACCACTGTGATTAAAATTGTTGATAATGATTGTTGAATGGCACTAATTTTGGGGACCCAAATCTCACTACCCAATGTTATTTGTATCGTACGTAGCAAACAAATGGGATTAAAATGGACGATAGTAGAAATGAATACTTACCAACGTTGAAATGGATCGGGAAAAAACACAGAGCAAATTAGCTATAGAAGGAATCGACTCTTCAGCCGATAGCCCAATGGATGGCGACGCGGATGGAAGTCTTCCCCTTATCGACGTAGCCTAGAAGAGAGATACTTTCATCTATAGATGGGATGGATCTTGGAAGAGGATAGGGAAACAAAATTAGTAATGTTGATAGAGACCCCAATAAGAACCGGTCGACATCAGTGGCGGCAGGTGGTTGTGAAAAGCCACGGAGAGGAATGCGACTGGTGAGGTAGCTGGTGGTAGAAAGGCTTCACGGGGCAGAACAATTATCTCCGACCCATCTAATGTAAGGCCCATAATTGGGACACGGAAACATGCAGTTCCCAAATTGAGTCAGGAAAAAATTCACTTCCCAAAGTACCCTCCCGAAAAACCCTCTCCAGCCTCCAATTTTGAAATGGGGAATCTGTTTTCCCCTTCAGCGTATTATAAGTATAGTAGATAGATAGATAGGAAGCATGCGCATATGAAACCCAACTAAATAAGTAACTAAATATAAGTATCAACTGTCATAAACCAACTATTCACAATAACTCGAGTTGTTAGGAGAATGATATTATGGATCGTATACCACTCTCTAACACGCCCCATCAAACAAAATCTAGCTCACGGGCTTGAAGTTTGCACAGGCCCACCATACCTTGTGCTTTTAATCAACTATTAATATTGGGGGCATGGAGATTCGAACGCACGACCACTTGGCTAAACCAACTCTGATACCAATATTATGTCATAAACCAACTGGTTCCAATAACTCTAGTTGTTGGGAGATGTTCAATCGTGGATCATGTATCGTTTACTAACACACCACCTCAAACTCGAGTTACTGAGACCAGTTGGTTTATGACATGGTATCTAAGCCTTCTGTAACCGAAAGGTCTTGTGTTTGAATTTCCACAACCCCCATTTGTTAAGCACATGGTATTTTAACCTGTGCAAACTTCAAACCCTTGTGAGTAGCTTTCGTTTGAGCAGGCGTGTTAGTATAGTATCCATTATGGATCAACTGGTTCTTAACATCAACCATCTAAGCATCTGCATATTATCTAACCTAGCAAATTAGTTGAGAGACAAATATAAATGTTCATATGACCGGCCATAACTAATGCCAAAACGAAAAACCAAACGTAGCACATTAGTAGGAGACAAAGAATAAACTTTTACCAAATGAACTATCTATATGTTCTTTGCTTGGTTGCATTGCACATTGTATGACATTCACATCAATATAAAGTTGGATAAATATTATTTCATTATAGAGATAACTGAACTAATCTAATAGATTTTCCCTTTGTAAATAAATGATATAAGATTAAATTTAGTTATTATTGAAATCAATTGATTGGTGACAATATTTTAAACAAATTTGATAACCTAGCTCTTTCCATAAGGTGGGGAAATTTTGAGTTACAAGTTGGGAACCATTATCCAAGATGTATTGTGGCATTTTTGCATGTGATGGCCATTGGCCATATCCCCATAGAAAAAGAGAAAGAAGAGGGGCCACGGCTTAAGCATTAGCAAGTTCAATGGTGGTGGAAGCATATACTCGAAAGATTCTCTCCCCACAAAGCTAAAGCTGCAACTTTTTAATTAATTCCATCGCCTTTATAAAGGCTAAGCTGCCTAATCACCCTCCAATCACTTCACTTCTCCTTCCCTCCTCCGCCATTCCTGTTTTTCCAAGGTGCTTACTAGGCTAGCAAACATCTACACCAAATCCCTGCAGGCACCAGCACATCAAGTAGGCGATGAAGATGGACAGCTACAATTACCACGGCGAAGAAGACGACGACCGAGAAGGCCGTGATCGTTGGAAGGTTTAGCAGAGAGGTTTTGCTCATGGGTTTGGGCAGCTGAGGATCCTTTGGCATTCATTCTGCATCCCTGAAAGTGGATGCTATCTCTGGCTTTACATTTACTACGTACTAGGTTTTGTTCATTGCCCATCCAGATTCCAAACTCAGCTACTATAGTAGCTTTCCGTAACAGAGAAGCTTCTGGTTTTTCTTGTCGCTCATTTCCTTTTGGTCCAAGTATGTGTGAGCATATCCATGTAACCCTGATGAAGTGCTTTTGTTCTTTATTCGGCTTCCAACTATCCTGTTTGTGTTCGCCTGAATTGTACTGAGCAGTAATTGGAATCCGAATGGTTTTGGAAGTTCCTGTTTTTGTACCTTTCGGAACACTTCATGTACAATTCTCAAAGTGACTGGTTGGATACCAAATAAGTCTCTTAGCTGCCGGTCTTCTAAGCGTCGTCAAGTATCAAATATTTGCCCTTCTCGGAAAGGATTGCACATGTATCGCAGCAGAAACCATAAAGCTTATGGTAGTGATGGTGGAGAGCTAATGGAGCACCTCAAATGATCAACAGTAATGCTGGATTGCGAGAGCTGGACACCGTGTTCCTCTATTATGAAGCCGAGTTCATCCTTTTGCCTGACAGCATCAACCAGAATCTAGGATTGATGCAGCAGCCTCCGGCCAGAAATGATCAAATCCGTTAATTCATAACAAGCAGCTGCATCTTGAGCAAAGGTACTTTGGCTACCAGCCAGCAGCACGACGGAAAAGTGCGAGAAAAAAAACCAGAACCTTCTTGAGCTTAACGATCTACAATGAGCTTAACGATCATACAAATTATTGAGGATCATACTGTAAAGATCCACATTGCAACAGTAGTAACACGCAAAGTTCATTCATTCATCAAGCGCAGCATACCCATTTTTCAGGGGCAAAATGTTATCTTTCAAAAGCTCATAGTCGAAATCCAAACCTCCAAAGGAGCAAAATTTTCACAAAATTAAACATCCTACAACATAGCAAGAGACATTTTCCAAACAAAACTCTAGTCAATAAAAGAAGCCAAGCACTTTCCCACCAACGTTCTTTCTCCTGGCCTCTTCGTGGTCCATGATTCCAGCAGAGGTGGTCAGCACGATGAAGCCAAACTGCATTCAAGAGCAAGGCAGCTCAGATAAATCTCAATAAAATGAACGCAAGAATATAACACCCTTTGTGATATACACAAAAACAAATGGTTATGAATTCTCAAAATAAAAACATAGGTTACACCTAGCAGCACATAAGACCCGTTGTTAACCAGAAGCTACCCAAGTACGGTTATGTCTACTCAATCGACCCTATAATCTAAAGATGATGAAATTTAGGTTTCAAGTTGTTCATTGGATTCAGAACCCACTTCAGACCATCGAAAATGGGCTGCCCAGCGAGCAATCTAGCAATCAGTCGACCATTAAACATACAGATTCTAATTAATACATGCTACAAATAACTTATGCTTAGACCAACCTGTCTAGAAGGAAGCAGCCTAGCAGTCCAGCCTTCAATCTCTTTGACACCGACATCAAAGCGAGGGCTGATAACACCGCACTTGTTCAGCCTTCCATTCAACTCAACCACAATCTTACCAGCTCTGTGGTCATCCACATACTCAAACTCGCCAATGTAACCTGCAAACCAATCGATATCAAATAATTACAAGTTCTGGCCAAACACTACAATTAAGGAAAACCCAAGTAAATATGGACAGAGTGAAAGTTTGCATAAGAACAAACCATGCTTTTGCATAACCAAAAGGAACTTGATGATCACTTTGGAAGATGGCCTGATCATGACCTGTCGCTTCCCCCTCTTCTCGGCATTGTACATGCTCTTCAAAGCATCATTCAGCACGCTGACCCTCACCATTTTGTTCCAAAAAGCAACTCCTCGCTAGACTGTTGCCAACAAACATTCAAACTATAGATCAAGTAAACATAAACGCCATGTAAAAACAGCGGCAATGCCAGAGCAAACCCACAAACGGGAACATCTCAGGGCACAGCAACAACTGTAGAAGTCTAGATCTTTTTTCAAAACCCAAAGGAGATAGAGTATACAAGAATCATATGCACTTCGAAACATCATCGTCGATATATAAATAACAAAAATGGATTGTTGGAGCTGAATAAATCTATTCAAACAACCTCGTCGTCAGGCGAACGAATAACAGGAGGGATAAAAACAAAGTAGCCGGAACGATCCGCTGACAGAGTAAGAAGAAGCCGGATCAAGTAACAAGACGATCTTGTAGTGGCAGTAACGAATGACGAAAACGAATGCAGAGAACCTGGTATAAGAGGAAGATGGGAGGAAGCGAATTTACCCGCAAGAATAGAATAGAATGCCGCCGCGCTGGTAGTGGGTGAGAGCTCCTCCTCTAGGGTTTAAAGATGGAGGCAAGACGGCAAGAGCTATGCAACCCCTAGCTTTTGAACCCTCGATTCGCTTTTCTGTTATTTTGCTCACTGGATCGGACCCTTTTACTTGGACCGGGCTTTAGTATTGTTGTTGTTGGATGGGCCTGAAACGGCCTGCGTATATTCTTCAAATAATAAAGTAATTAGGATAATAACTATTTATTAGCAACAAAAATTAGATTCTTTTTGTTAGTCAAATTTATCGAAATACTAAAAATTAGCCGATTATAATACGTGAATAGTCATTAATTTTTATCGTTAACTATTTTTAATGGTGCTCCACCTCAGCATCCAACTCAGCTGCCACCTCATCAATGAATAAAATAAAATTGGATAAACACTAAATATTAGCCAAATCTTTCTCGCATTCCTTTTTATTAGACAAACCTATTGAATTACTAATAATTGACCAAATATTTTGTAATGCATTAAAATATTAGTAATTTATGTGTTATCATTAATAACTTTGTAACTCTTTTCTTGGTTAAAATACTAAAATTTTGGAATGTTGACATCCATGTGTCTCTGCCAAGGTGGTATCATGTGTCCAAATCAATATACTAACAAAATTGCTAACTAGAAGTTAAAATTTGGCTAATTATTAGTAATTCAATAGTTTTGACTAATAAAAAAATGCAGAAAAGATGATCAATGGTTGATCGACTGATGTAGCATTTTTTGACTGCCACATTAGAAAATTCATTCCAACTCAGCGCCACATCTGACAGCTCACCATCATCAAACGGAAAAGTTAACGGAGATTTAATGTTTGGTTAATAAATAGTATTCCAATATGTTTGGATAAAATAAAATAACCGAAAAAATGTTTGGTTAATAAATAGACATTACCCAAGTAATTAATGGAAATGAGCTCTGTTTTCATAACCGTACCGGATGCTAAACTGAAAAAAATTAGTGGTTCATAGTTCAACGATCAATCATTGTAGAATCGTTGGTTAACCGTGATAGAACCATTCGTGTGTTATAACATAAAAGACATATAATATAATAACTTAAGATTTAATTTATCACTCTAACAATGAACAATTTCAAATTGGGTAATATCCTTTTTATGAATGATTTGTGTATTAATAAAATAAGGTAGCTCGCAAATTACGAGTTGTTATAGTTGTTTCACGGTTGCTGCAGCATAATACGAAGTAGTTTAGGTTGAGATGTGAGACACAGTAAGATGGATGATCATGGGGGATGAAAAGGGTTGGTTGCTCTACCGAGCAAAAATTGATTGAGTGTCTCTACTTCTTGCCGATCTAGAAAAGCCTTGGCAAGACTCCAATTGATGCAATTGTTCACCACTTTGGGCATTATCTTGTCCCATGTACATCTCTTATCTCTGAAACTTCTGGAGTTTCGCTCTAACCAAATGTTCCAAAAGATGGCATGAGGCAGTAATCTAACACATTGGAAATGTGTTACTCCGGGGTGAAGTGGCTCCACTGTTCCACTAAACTGCCACAGTTGTATGGGATCGGTCCTTTGGCGTTGAGTCTGAAGAAGAAATAGTCCCATATACTTCTTGAGAAGTTGCAGTGAAGTAGTAAATGACCAATGCTTTCACCTGCTTGCTGCCATAAGCAACATATGTTGGGTATTTGCCAACCTCTTTTCTGTAATTGGTCTTGAGTGAGGATTTTCTCTTGATAAACCAACCAAGAAAATGCAAAGATTTTGATTGGGACGGCAGGGATCCAGATTGAAGTAGAATGAAAGGATGATCCAAATCCTTTAAATTTATCACTAGAAAGCTTGGTGTAGCAGCTACACACTTGAAATTTTCACCCGAGCAGCAATGGAAGTAGTTTATCTTGACTACCTGAGAACCATGAGATGGGAATGCTACTTAATAGGATGTTGAAAGTCTGAAAGGAAGCTGACTCACTCCTACTGTCACTCTAGGAATTGGCCAAGTGAAACCACTTCCTAAAGCGTAGTATAGCGGGTTTGGGTTTAAATGTCAACCCGGGTCCTAGATTTGATGACTACTCAGTGAATTCTTGTTATCTAGCAATGAAACTTTAGTGCAGGTCTAAACTAACAAACAAGCAAAGCAAGTAAACTGTTGTATTCAGGTTAAGAGAGTTCACCCGGATATGGTTCCCCCTAGACTGCAGTTAAGCCGGATTGCAATTACCAAGTTCAGTTTCTATGATGGTTATACTGCGGAAGGTTCTTAAACAGCTTGAAGTCTCGACTAAAGGTCTTCAGACCCTCTCAATCTGAGTCTCTAGCGGGCGACTAACCTCCACCGGAGTAAACAGATTGAGGCCTTAACAAACAAAACCTCCACTACCGGAGTGAATCCAGTACAGAATAGTGAGTTGGCTCCTCGACTAAAGTCACCAACTCCCTACCTTCAATCGAGGATGCTCTATCAACCTAGGCAGATATTCTCATTCTAGGTTAAAGCAGAAACAACAGGAATTTGATCAGGATTCAAGTCATTCAATCATTCAAGCCTCAATTGAATATAATCAAATCATAGAATCAGTACTTGGGTTCATACAATCAAACCTAACATACAAATCTAGGGTTCTCCATACCCAGATGAATGGGAGAACTACTCCATGGAGAAAGAAGCAAAAGCCGAATCAGACGCGGAATTCATACTGTGAAGGATGGATTCCTGCTCCTGGACGTTGATCGGCACTTCTCCAAGCTCAAGCCATGCTCCAATGGTGATGAAGATCAAGCACTTGGAGACTCTTGTTTGTCGCTTTCTCTCTAGGAATCGCTCTATCTCTCTCCAAACTCGAATCCCCCTCTGTTTTGGCTGAAATATGCTTAAAAGGGCATCACTGGGCAAAGCACGGTCGAGGGCACGGCCGTGCTTTGCCTCAGCCCGCCCGTGCTTTGGCTAGGTTTAATTACACGGCCAGCTTGTTGGTGCAAACACGGTCGTGCTTTTGGGAGGACATGGTCGTGCTTTGGTGGACACGGCCGTGCTTTCAGCCCGTGTTTGCAGCTTGAATTTGCCAAACTCAATTAGCTCTCGGCAGTAAAAGCACGGCCACAGAACACGGCCGTGTTTTGTTTTAGGTGTGCCCGTGTTTTGGCTCCAGCTCGACGAAATGACTTCCGAATGCCCCGAAACTCGTGCTTAGCCTTTCCTTTGACGCCTGGGACCTGAAATGTGACAAAATAGCACAACCCGGCGTAAAATAGGCCAAAAATACACGACTATGCCCCTCAAACGGATAAGAACTAGGGGCGCAAATATGTGCAATTACATCGTTATCAGAAGCTTGGGCAGCACCTCGGAAAGTAACAGAGAAGTCAACCAGCCAATGAATCATGCCTTCTTCAATGGAAAACATGTCTCTAAGTGAGGCATACTTGTCCCTTGCCCCTGAGAACAGGTTTGGAAAGCTTTGAGAGACAGTATGATTAGGAATCCATCTATCTAATCAGAAAGAAATAGACGATGCATCACTCGGGCGAATCACTGTAACATTCCAAAAATTAACACTGTTACTTACAATGAGCTTCCAAATTGATCTCCTGTAAGGCATATGTGGGGTAGAGAGATTCCAACAATTGACGGGGTAGTCAAATTGCAACAAATAAGATACCTCCACCAATCATTTGGGTTATTATGGAGTTGCCAGACCCACTTTGCTAAAAGGGCTGCATTAAGTGTTTTGAGGTCTTTTAGCCCCAGCCCGCCATTTGACTTTGTAGCCTTTATTAGCTCCCATCGAACAAGGTGAGGTTTGTCATGTTCTTCAGCACCGGACCACATGAATCTTCTAATGATCTTTTCCATTCTTTCAATAATATGTACAGGAGCAAGGTGTAGAGAAAGATAATAGATGCACATGCTTGCAAATGTGCTTTTGATCAGGACAATTCTGCCTCCTAATGAAAGGAGTCGCCCTTTCCATGAAGAGAGACGTTTGGTCAATGCATCAATAACTGGTTTCCATGTGGTGATAAAGTTAGGCTTGGCACCCAATGTGATCCCCAAGTAAATTGTTGGAAGGCTACCAATCTTGCAGCCACATACTCTTGCCAACTCTTTTACATTCTTAACATTGCCAACTGGAAGAAATGTAGACTTGGATAGGTTGATCTTAAGTCCTGAAATTATTTGAAAGTATAAAAGTGTTTCTCTCAGGTGCATAACTTGGTCTGTATTGGGGTCACAAAAAATCAATGTGTCGTCTGCATAGAGAAGATGAGCAACTTGACCACTTTCTGATGTTGGGTTCATAGAGAAACCAATTATCAATCATGCATCCTGCAATATGTCCAAAATGAGAGAGAGACATTCCATAACTATAATGAATAGGAAGGGAGATAAATGATTCCCTTGTCTTAAGCCACGTTGGTTCTTGAAATAACCTTGAGCGTCGCCATTTACTAGCACCGAGAAATGAGGAGTAGCAACACATGACCGTAGCCATGAATCCAATGAGTGCCAAAACCCATTTGCTGCATCGATGTAAACAGAAAGTTCCAATTTACGTGGTCAAAAGCCTTCTCAATATCGAGTTTTAACACAATTCCTGCTCTTCCACTTCTGTTGCGGGAGTCTATTAACTCATTAGCTATTAGTGAAGCATCTAAAATTTGTCTTCCATGAAGAAATGCCATCTGAGATTTAGAGATTAGCCTGCCCATATTATTCTTTAACCTCCGCATAAGAATCTTAGCTAGAATTTTGTAGAAGCTTCTAACCAGACTAATTGGTCGCATGTCTCTGATATCTTCTACAACATCTTTCTTGGGAATGTGAGCAACAAAGCTGCTGTTGATAGTTGTAGGCAGTCTGGTTGTAGCCTGAAAGTCTAATAGAGCAGCCCGTAACTCAACCTTCAAGAAATACCAACAATGAAGGTAAAAAGATATAGTAAAACCGTCTGGTCGGGCGATTTATCTCTGGCACAGCTTTTTTGAGCCTTCCATATCTCTTCCTCAGTGATATCTTGCTCTAGTGTGTCAGCTTCAATGGTGGAAATATGATTGTAATGCAATGAGTAGGGGAATGGTCTGTTGACACTCCCTTCCGTATAAAGAGAGACATAGTAG